CATAATAATTAGGGTAGAAAAATCATTTGAACCTTATTTGAAATATAGTTCTTAGTTATAACATATTCATACTTATATGTCTACTTTCAGGACATGCATTGAATTCAACATTATAAATACGTATTTTAAGGTTACTATTTAATTTTAATAGATTATAACTAACAGTATCCTTTTTTTAGAAACTTGGAAAATTGAATGCAGATATTTAAAGAAAAATCACACTTTTGGACTTAATTTGAAATTGGGTGCATGTTAACTATTTTAGATTTCCTTAAAATTATATGTATCACCATCTATTATTTTCATAACGGAAAACTTTGTAGGTATACACATAGCCCTTCGCTCATATTGTCAATTCCTCTAAAAATGTAATTAATGTTCGTTTATACTTTAAAACAATTGCTCCTAAGCCTATTTCGTATTTTGAAATGATAATATTGACTTTCTGGTAATCATTCCATATGTTTATCTCTGTAGACATTTTCATTTATAGGTTAGGTAATGTACTTCCCACTAGGACCGACAGTCAGGCCGGAAGGTGAACTGTAGCGTTCGGCGTAATTCCACAACGGACCAAAGGCACCGTTATATTTACAAAGTAAGTTAAAATATAGTTCGAGGGATTAACAGTTTAGGGAACGGCTTCGATCACAGACAGAGTCTAGCGTCTCTCAAAATTCGATTCCTTTATCAAGAATAAAAGACTAGAATTGTTTGGACGCACTTGGAGAGCAGATGGTCAACTAATAAAATAAGTACTCGCGGGGAAAATGAACAAAAAAATACCCCTAAGAAGATCAAGGACCCGGTGGATCGATGTAGTTGCCAAGGATTTGAAAGYCAGAATGTGACATATGAGTCGACTTACAATATAGAGAGATGGAGAGACCTATTGAAGGCATCAATGGTACTGAATGCACCGTTAAGCTGAGAAGAAAAATAACAAACTGATGTTCACTTAATGCTACAGCCGTCAGAGATTGACTTAGGAAAATTTGAAAATTCTTTTTAAAAAAATGTGAATCATTCGATACGATTAAAAAGAAAACTAACCTAGAAAAATTAAAACATCATTCTAACACCAGATTATTATTTCACAAATGGTACATACTTTTTATAAATTTAACGTATTCATTTCCTAGATCTGCAATAATAAAAATTGTGACAATTTCTAATTCTACATCATATACATCAGTAACTATTTAAAATTTAATCTTTTCAATAAATTTAACAATTTATTCATCATTTATGAAACATTTTAATTAAATCTCCATATCTATTTGAATCCTACAGAGCTTATTTTAATATGCTGCGTACACTTTCTTAATATTCAAGTATAAATAAGATGCTAATAATAAACAATAGAAAAATCGAAAAAAAATTTGCTTCTACATTTCATCCACAAGCTAAACAGTTTTGTTTTTTAACATAGATAGCAAGGTAACTTTTTTCAATGGAATTTAATTGTATTTATTTTAAGTATCCTTAATTTAGCTACTTCAATATTTAATACGCCATAAGCATGTATTAATTAGTCACTATTATTTAATCCAACATATCAAATTATGTTGTTGGGCCATACCTAACCTAACCTTAAATTACAATGCATTGATTTTTCTGAAGCGAATTCATATAATAATAAATAAATTAGTCATTCATAACTTTACATGTACAAATGTTAATAAATGTTGTTGTCTTGAATTAGAAAAGGTGAATTAATATAAATATTTAGGATGTATAGTTGATCAAAAACTAACATTTGATAGGTACTCAAGTTAATGAAATAGTTAGTAAAATAAATAACAAAAAAAATTTATCAATATTCTATATTTTAAAAGAAAAAAGTTTTAAAAAATCAGTATACTATGCCTTAATACATTCCCATATACAATATGCAATAAGTGTCTGGGGAGAAAAAGACAAATTAAATAGACTTCAAGAAATAGAAAATAATATCATTACAAAATTCCAAATTGAGGGTATAGAGCCTGTATACGACTTGCTGATACATAGATTAAAAAAGGAATATCACAATTTACATTATCGGATCCTAGAATATTATGAAATATTTAAATACTCTTAATAAATCCTGATTTTAATTTTTTACATAATTTACATCTTGCAGATAACCTTTTCCTATTGTGGCTGGATTTTAATATAAGTGGATTAACATTATCTGTTTTTTGTTTACACTTAAAGCAATATAGTTTGTTCATTTATAGGAATAAAATTAAGTTGATATACAAAAAATATTAAAAAATACAAAATTTTTATTATATACGTTATCAAAGACAACAGAAATGAATACTTGTTGCTGTTATGATAAAGTGATAACAGTGCATACTGTACAATGTACATGTTATAATAATGATAATTATTGTAATTCTTCTTCATAAATTGTACATTTGTACTTACTACATCTTTAATTTTGTAATAATTAACATTTGACTTAAAAACTTTTTCAACTGTAAAAATTTCCTTAGACCAATTTGTTTTCAATTTATTTCTATATACATCAACTATTGATGATAATCTAACTCTATCATTTATCTCAAATTTWGGTACAKAATTACTAATATCATAGCTATAAACACTATTAAGTAAATCATACTCATTATTCTTATTAACTTCAACAGGTTTCATTTTTATTGTTCTGTGGTATGTATTGTTATATGTCTTAATAATCTTCGGCAATTCAGAGATCCATACATTATTTAAATAAAGTACTTTCTTTAATTTATCACCTAATG